TTATGAAAGCCTTTATTAAGTCGGCATTTCATTGGTTTTCCCTTTTAACCGAGCGGCATAAAATAATTAAAGCGAATGAATGGCAGCCGAGAAACCAAAACTATTTCATCACTATTCCCGTAAATGAAACCCAAAATTTATTTTAATTTCCGCCAATCGGTAATATTTGCAAGCACAAAGAGTCTGCTGTAATCAACAAGCATTTTGGGTCTTATAAAATCATGAAATTAAATTTAGTTAAAGAGCAAATTAAAAATGCAAGGAAGGGAACTTCCTGGCTGTCTCTGGCCAATGATCTTAACTTTTCAAGCTTCAACCTATTCAACTTGAAATGTTTCCAACTAAAATCCAAAATTAAAACTTTACCCATCCGAGTTTTCCTTAATTTTGAGCATTTCATTTCGCTGTGACTTTGGCTTCGTGTTGCCCATAAAACCAAGTTCAAATTGCGCGAAAATGCCAGCTGCAGAAGCCCACGAAGAGGAAGACGTCGGCATGACCCGCTCACACACTCAAGCTCACACACACACACGTGCACACGTACTCAAGAGCACACGCACACCGAGGCAAAGGCACTGAGAGAAAATGGAGGGGGATTGACAAGTTAAAGCTGTCTTCTTAGACTTAAACTTGTTAAAAAAGCTACAAAAATAAACCTACATTTGTTCTTAAAATTACAAAATAAGTTCTAAGCTTGAAGGATATTTAGTTTTAAGATACAAATAGAGTTTCCTTGCAACTTGCACTCACACTACTTTCTCCCGGTGCAGGTGTGTATCTGTGTGCAAATGTAAAGCATAAGATAGACAATTACACTTTTGCCACTGCAAGAGGGAGACGGCGCGAGCCCGCCAGAAAGAGAGAGGGCATTTAGATAAACGCCAAAAGGTAAATGAACTTTATCAACCGAACAAGAAACGAGGTGCACACACCAACATACCCACACAGTTACACAGCCACCACCAACACACATACACATGTGCGACTGCAATTGCAGATGCAATTGTGTGGGTGGCCGTCTGTGTGTGCCCTCCACTTTTGGTTATGAAATTGAATTGCTGCGCCTGCATGTATATTTATTAAATTAAGCCACGCCCACCGCCTCGCATTAAATTTGCAAACATCATTAACAACTTTTGGCCAGGGTGTTGCCAGCTTCAGATATCCTAAAGGGAATCTAAATTGGATTAAAGGTTGTTTAGGAAGTAATACTAACTACCTCCTGATTGGTACTCATTTTAAGTTTAAAGGTGAAGTCACTCAGAAGTTATTAATTACTAAATCGTATTTATAAGCAATCACCTTAATACAATATATTTTAGAAAGTATTTACATGCTAGCAAGGGAGTCCGCCCAGAAAGCCTTTCTTAGCTGCCATTTTACCAACTTCAATGAATCAATTTGAAGGCCCTGGAGAAAATTTCAAACTTGGATACTAAAGTATAAAATAATCAAGCCTGGGAATGTTTTCCAACACCACCTTATTTGACTTGGACTCTGGACACCTAACCAAATTCAATTCCTGGCCAAAAACGACCCAAATTGCAGAACAAATAAGATTTATAAATGGAATTTCGTTAGCTCCGATGACATTTACTATTTTTATCGTGCCAAATACCTTTGCCACATTCAATTTAACATTTTCAGCAGCCAGCAAAAATGTCAGCAAGAGTGAAAATCTAGAAAAACTCTGGCAAAATTCTGGGCCAAAATGGTAGGAAAACATGGAGCGAGTGTACAGAAGCCAAACAATGTGAAATGTAGAAGGAGCTGAAACAGATTTTCCGACTGTAGTAATAAATGATAAACAAGTGCAAGCTGGCCAAATGGGCGTGCCAGTGGCTGTGGGAGTGGGTGGGGAGGGGGTGGGCGGGGGTGGTTTTCCATTTCCCAGTTCAGTTGCTAGGCTGATATTGAAAACTGCTGCCTGCAAAGCTAAGCAAATGTTGCCCTGCGTCCGTGTGTGTGTGTCTTTTCACACTCTTGCATTATTTATGCAGGCCACCATTTGTGCGTGAATGTGTGTGTGTGTGTGTGTGGGTGTGTGTGTGAGCCACGTACGTGCCTCGAACTGCAACGACAGCTGCTCCTGTTCCAGGACACAGAGTACAGAGCACAGAGAAGAGGACCCAGTAACCAGGATCCTGGATCCCGACTCCTGGCTCCTAGCTCCTGACTCCAGCCTCCACTTTTGGACCCTGTGTGCGCGCATATATATTTATTCCATGTACATATTGTAAGTGCCCCATGCCTCGTGTCAAACTTCTAATTAACCTCGTAATTCATGCAGCCTGCATGGCAGAGGCGCAGAGGGCAGAGGTTCGAGGATACAGGACACAGGGCCCAGGACAAAGGGTGACTGCTGGCGTTTATTGTTCTGCTTCAGCTCCTTCCCCTGCTCCTGCTCCTACTCCTGCTGATGGCAGAGCTCTGGAGAAACGTGGCCGGGCATGTGACCCAGAAATTACCAGTTACCAGCATACAAATGGCAATTTTTGATGGATTTCCAAGTCATATTTTTTGGCTTTGCTGAGCGAATGAGGGCAATGAAATATATTCGCCTTATTGAGACTTCATGTTACAGCATTGATTTCGCATATATTTATGGTCTCTACTGTCAGAAAAACCACTCCATCAGATTCAGTGGGATCCTAAGTGAGTTACAACCACTACATAAGCCTCTCCATATTTCATTTATTGTTAATCCCAAAAAACCTTCTGATTTGATAGAATTACGACTTTCGCTGCTAACTTTTGTTTATTCAGTTCGACGTCTCATAAAGTTCGCCATTGATTTATTTGCATTGCCAATTATGCACGTAACCAGTCGGTAATTGAAAACGTTAATCCAATATTAGTTTTAACGGAAATATTAAACAAACCATTACGGGGAGTCCTGCATTCTGAGGCAGCCCCAAAAGTAGGCAACGCTTTCGTGCACACTTTCGCCTGTTCGCCTGTTCGCCTGTTCGCCTGTTCCTGTCAATGCAAATTGAAATTACATTATTTAATTGGTTAGTTGGCCTGTTCAAACGAAAAACAACGCGAGCCATGAAAACAAATAAACATAAATTGAATGCAATTGCATGATTAATTGTTGAGGGTCCAGCAAGACAGCCGAACAAATTACAATTTGTACAACAATTATAGCCGAATGTTGCGCCTGTTAAGAGTTGGCAAATAAACAAATTAAGCAGATAGAATAATTAAGGCCAGCACTGCCAGTGTTGAATGGCATTTCAAAGTTTAGTCCTGGCGGCTAACTTCTCCGACTGTGACTGTGCAATCAAATGTTCAATTGCCACTTATTTTGCGGCTGGCCATGGACAACATCAAACCACAGCACTTAATTCTCCAAGTCAAGGAGACAACCAGACAACCAGACAACGAAACAGAGCGGGACAGACAGAATATCGAAAAAAATGCAGAGGAAACGAGCGAACAAAGGGAGACACAAAGTCGTTATTGTCTTAGTTTTATTAAAATGCGTTCGTTCTTTTTTATTTGTATTATTTTGTGTGGAAAAAAGCAACTCTCCCGGGCAAAAACTTGTCAAAGGCAACGGCCAAAAATGGAACTCTGGCAACAACCATTTCTGCCAATTTGTGTGCAATTTAAAGTGTCCGAAGGGGGACCCTGGCTATATAGTACATACACAAAAAGTTGCCAACTATTTTGCCCCGACAGAGAGCAGCGAGCAGTGAGCAGCGGGAAGCGGAGTCAAGGGGCCCCAAAAACTTGGCAGACACGGACACAGATGAGCAGACCGCAATGGAACTGACCGCGGGGACTCACTGCTAAAAATGTGGGGATATCTTTTACAGGGAGAATAAGCCTAGGAGTCGTTAAAGTTTGTTACTAACTCATTAAAGTAATGATTTATGTTCTTAATAAAACCAAAAACGAAAGAATTGCCGATAAGCTATCGATTAAATCATAACACTAAGCATTTGAATCGAAAATGATTTCAAAATGCCTACAGAGATCACCTTTTCAGTCAGAATTTCCAAGTCACTTTACCAATCTTAGCCATGTTTTCTCTCAGTGCTTGGATGCTTTGGCCATAAAGCGTTCAGCTGCCTTTGACGGGGGACGGGGGCATTTTAGGGGGTTAACACTGCTGCATTAACGCTGACCGAAAAATCTCTGCAGCTGAAGTTGAGCTCGCATTTTTTTTGCAAACCAAAAAAAAGAAGCAAAAAAATATTTCGCGGACAAAGCAGCCAAAACCCCCCCCCATTGGCCCCTCTGCCATTCCTCCCATGTTGTTGCAACAATAACGGTACATTACAAGTGGCAGGCGAAAGCATCGAGTTAGTTAGTTTGCCGCCGCCCCGCCCCCAAAAAACCCTTGCTCCCTCTGCCCACAGTTTCTGCGGTCTTGTTAGTCTGGGCTGGCAAGTTGGTTAAAAAGTTGTTGATGCAGTTACTCCTCCTTCCGACTGCCACGCCCCCTTTTTGCGACGACATTTGTGCTAATGGCTGCCAACGACCTGGACACCAAAACCCAAAAACCCAGCCCCCTCATTCGACGCCCCCGCACATGGCAAACATGTTGCATACTCTGCGGCGTAAGCGAAAAATTTCTAGCGAACAGCTTTTTGGCCAAGCAAACACACAGTGGGTTAAGTGGGCGAGTTTGCCACAACATTTGTGTTCAAGAATAATTAAATTAAGCTGTCAGTCTGGTCTGGAGAATTACAAAAAATACGCAAAATTATGTTGCACTTTCCAATGTGTGTGTGTGCGTGCGTGTGTGTGCGTGTGTGTGTGTGTAGGAAGTTTTTGTTCAAAGAGCTGATTTAATGGCAGTTCCAAACTACTTTGTTTTGAGGTTCATTTTAACTAAATAATTGGATGAGTCGACCTTTGCTTACCACGGAACAGGACTCTGGGGCCAATGAGCTTAATTAAATGCAGTTTCATGCCATTTTCCCACTAATTGAGAAGGACAAACTTCAAAGTTAAAGGCCTAAATGAAAGAAAATTACTTCTGATTCTCAAAATAATAATAGACTTCTGGAGTCTTTCTTTACTGCACTGAAGTGATTTTGATCTTGATCATATCTTAAAACACAAATATAAAAGTTGCCCACAGAAAGAGGTTCTTTCCATACCGACAAAATCAAAGCAACGCAAACAATTTCGAAAAATCAAAGGCCTTAAAAGCAGCTCAGTTGGGCTTCTGAGGGTTTTCAACGTCATCTCCTGGGTTGTCCTCATTAATCGTCAGTCGATCCATCGCAGTAGCCTGTTCGACTTCCATTAAACTTTGCACATCTTCTTGATTCCCTGCGGGATCGGGGGAACTCGGCGGCACAATGGTCTCATCCTCGCAAATGGTGAGGTGCAGGATGATGTCCTGCGTGTAGTCTCCGGTGTGCTCCTTCATTTCGCGATGGGTGAACCGCATGAAGAGCGGACTATCGGAGAGCAGGTCGCACTTTTCGATAGTCTCAGTGTTGGAACAGGTGTGGATAACCTGGCGACGTGGCAGTCCCGGAATATTCTTATCGGTCTCCACGGTCACCATCAGAGGAGGCTGGGCCTGGGGACAGAGCAGCCAAAGGATGTAGATATGGGTGACCCGCGGACCGACGGGCTGTGAGCCCCAGGAGGTCTTCCACAGCATCACAAAGATGGGCAAACGACCCCCCCAATCCAAGTAAATCCTCGGCAGATTGGAGTTCAGGGCCACCTGCCTGCCGCTCTCGTAGACCATCAGACCCAGGCAGCTGCTCTTTTCCTTGGCTTCTTGCAGCGATTTTCCTACGATCTTCAAGCACTTCTCCTCTTTGGCCTTCAGTTCCAGGGAGATGACCTCCTCGTGGTACATCAGGCCGTGACTGAGAAGGATGCCAGGACTGACAACCATATGGCAACTGCTGATGGGACACTCAAAGGGCCGATTCTGGAGGGTCCAGTATTTCTTAATACTGGTACTAGTACTCCTACGTCGCTCATATCGCACTTCCGGAGAACTGGTACTGTCCTGCGGAGAATCGGAAATGGTTTCCGCACCACCACGCATCGCAACCCGTTCGCCCGCGGGAAGCGAAAATGGGCAGTCCATATAGAGACGCCTGCTATGATCGGGCAGAAAGTTCAAGTGGGTTATGCAGATCTCGACCTCCTCGTCGGTGGCATTGCCATCGTTCTCTCCCTCCACAATGACTGGCGTAGTGGTGTGAAGGGAGTACTTCGACTGGGCAAAGTCCAGAATGGCGGTATCCATAAAGGTTTCCCCCGACGTCGATGGTCGCTCGCACTCCTCTTCGCTACTCTCCATTGGGAAACACTTTTTTCGACTATTTAAGAGACTTTTAAGACTAGAGATTTGTTGGGATTTTGTGCGTGTGGAAGTGTTAACGTCTCGAAAGCAAATGATACTGATAGGTAACCGGTTCCTAAAAACCCTAACAGAATTAAAACTCGAAGGCTACTGAGTCAGCAACTAACTTATTTAACCTGACTTATTGTTATTTATGAGGCATCTAGTGATCCGACATAATAAACGATATATAATCTGAGAGAGATGATTTTTATAGAGAACTCAAGCGGATTGCTGGACTGCAACTGAGACAATGCCATCAAAACTCTGGAGAACATTTTGTTGCATTTGTAATTTCCGGTTTCAGACACACAAGCACACACAGTTGAAAAGGAAAATGCGAAAAAAAAATGTGTCAACATACAAGACAAAGCGAAATACAAACAAAACTCAAGTTGCCTCTGTGAAACAACGGAATGCAGCTGAAGGGTAGACGGACGGCTGAAGGGTAAGCGGCGGCAGAGGGAGAGAGCAACAGTCGGACTAGGACCCCTACAACTCCCTGCGGCCACGCCTCGCCCCTTTGCATCGCCGCCCACCGGCAACTCCTTTGGTTTTGAAATCGACAATGGAATGTGCCGCCGCAGAGGAAGTGCGGTATATGCCGGTAATATCGGACTTAAAACCTCGAGTGGTAAATATTTTAAGGAAAAACTAAGCAAAGATTGAAATGCTTAAAATGAAAATGAAAATAAAGAAATCGATAAGCAATAAGTAATGTAAAACTTAAGCTAAATATAATCAATATTTAAAGGAATAATAGGATGTTAAGCCGTTTTCTCTCCTTCAAATCACTTTTCTTTATAAGCTTGGAAAAATGATGACTTAAATTTCAAAAATAGATTAAAACGTTATCTTAATTGAGCATTTTTGTTAGGAACTTTCCCTACATTTTCGTCGTGCAACTTGACTGCAATGAAAGAAGTTGCGAGCTGAGTCACGTGCATGCGCCATTTGTTTATGGCTTTCTCCCTTTTACTTTGCTTTTACTTATTAGTTTGGAGAGGCAAACTCCACCTTCTAGCCATCCATACTTTTCCCTTTTCCATTCCCCATCTCATATCTTCGTCTGTTGCTTTTCCTTTGCGAGCTTTCGAGCTGCAATTGTCAGTTGGCAGTGCAGCCAACCGCAAATAGCAAACAAGCCAAAGCCTCTGTGTCCCTGTCCCTGGATCTGGTGACGCCTTTAAGACGCTCTGCCTTTGCTTACCCTATGCCTTAATTGAGTTTTCACAATTTGACAGCTGGCTGAGGGAAATTAACCCATCTCGTCAGAGGCAAAACTCACCTGAAACGAAAAGAAGGAAAACACATATAAGTCAGCAAATCAGGAGTCGAGAAGTGTTCGCGTGAAAGAACAAACAAGACTTGGATTTTGGGTGGTTAATTGAGGAAAATTAAACTTTGAGCTTGCATATTTACACACGCACACACGCCGATCCCCCGGGGGCAACAAGGGGTTAAGCATAGGGTTCACAGCCACACATAAAGATTTCCATTACCGGGCTGCTGTCTTAACATCTTAACAACAACCCAGACAACAATGTGTAAAACAATTGTGCTGGCAGTTAATTTGTGTGCTACGACAATCTAGTATCACCTCTACACTGAAAGAAAAGCACCCACTAGACAGGTTTAAGAGTTCTTTTTATGGATTTCAAATTGATTTTCATTTTTAAGTTATTTTCATCACAAATATCCTTTCAAAGATGACTTCTTGATCTTATATGTCTTCATTTTAATAGTATTAGCTTTTCTTTTTTACCAGTGTATGTGCTGTATGATAATGTTACTGCGAGTGACAGACAATTGAAAAGGCCATGCACAGCCACTGGCACACATGGCGTATGCGCAATGTGCCAAAGTTTATACGAAATTAATGTTAATTACAACGCGAGTTCAGCTATCCATCTCCCTCGCACCGCCGCGGCAACATCTGTGTCCTGTCAGGAAGTGGGCGGACATTGGGAAAGGGGTCTCAGGCAGGGGGCAGAGGGCAGAAAGCAGAGGCCAGGGAATGCAATTTGCCAGCAATGCATTTAACAAGCTGAAAGCGCTTAAGCCGAAGGATTCAGCATCGAATGAGTCGACAAAGGTGCATCGACTCTCTCGCACTGAAAGGGAATGATTAATAACCGAAATCGATAAATGTGAAAAACTGATGGCTGATGAATGGACGAATCGTGAATTGCTATAGCTAAAGACCGCCCTTAAAGTGAGACATGGTGAGATGTATGGCATTTCATTTTAGAATATAATTGATGTGAATAAATTTCTGTGTTTCCCTAATATTTCATTGGTAATTTCCCCTTGATTCCCACTGATTAATTGTTGAATTATGCCAAGAATGGACCAAATATATTTCGGTTTATAATAATAGGCCAAATCATCGCTCATCTTTATCGAGCAATCAATCGAATTCACCTTTCGCCATGCCGGTAAATCCCGCTTAAGCCATTCTCCTGCACAAAGGCAGTCAATTTTTCGTGTTTTATTTTTGCCCTTTGTAAGTATGTGTCTATATATACCTTTTTCTATATAGATATTCTTCTTGCTTTGTTTTGTTTGGTGAATTGAACAAGTTCTGCCAGCTGCGGGGATTCCCATGAACCATGCCAGGAGATTCCCCACCTCGTGCCGTGATGTGGCACAAATGGCAATGCGCTTACCGTGTTCCGTGTTGCTGCTGAGCTGCTGATGTGGCTGCTGCTTCTGCTGCTTCTGCTGCTGCAATGCAACAAAGACAAGCATGCCACACCCCCTAGCCCACTGAGCCCCCGAAAAGACACCTTGGCACCCACGCACAGACACAATTTATAAAAGCCACAACAAATGTCTGAGGCTGTAAACTTTCCGTAAATCTTTGCAGCAATGTCTGCCAGCGGCACCAGCAGCAGCAGCAGCAACAACAGCGGCGGCAACAATAGAAGACAAGGACGATGACGATGACGTCGTCACGCGGATGTTTCGACGCGACTCTGAAGGATTTTCATGGCTGGTAGGTAAGGTTTTCCCCGTTTTCCCCCTTTTGTAGTTGCTGCTGCCATGCACGTATGTGTTGTTGATGTTGCTGGTATTGCTGCTGCGCCTGGTGGCTTGTGTTGCATGTTGCCGTCAGCATGTCAGAGCCCCCAACACGTTGCAAAATGCGCTTACACACATGTAAGCACATGTTGCTACACGTCGCGCAGCTAAAGTCGACGTTTTAGTGCCCTTCAAAAGGCCAAAAGCCTGGCGATTAAGATGAAAATTTAATATAAAATAAGCTTGAAGTTCAGTTAACTTTAGCCTTTTTAAATAAATATTAAATAATAGTTAAAATATGATAAGGGTTAGCTACATTTTAAAAGGCCTTTTAGGGCGAGAGTTTGTAATTTTAATTCCAGTTTTTGGGCCATTTTCCAAAACAAAGTTGGTAAAGCAAAAACAAGAATCAAATAAAATGGAAAACTCAGAAAGAGTTTGAAAAAAGATTTAAAAATTGAAGACAACCCAGGGTATGTATTGAAACAAACCCGCCGAATACCCACTTGGAAAACACCTGAGGGAAAACGTACATTGTCAGCATCTTAGCGATTTTCGTGACAGCGTTTTCCTGGCACTGACTGTTAACATTTTGCCAGCTTTCGCAGCTTGCCCGGCTTTCCCATCAGCTGTTGTTCGCCAGAGTCTTTGCTTTCATTAAGCTAATCCAGACATGATCATGCATATATATATATATATATATGCTCACCTGAAGAGAAAATGGAAAAGCCCAGACAGTAGCGTTGAACCCGGAGACGGGGCTTTTCCTGATGCTCAAGCGTTTGCAGCATTTTCATTTTTAATATACACAAAAACATGCATGTGCTGGCTTTTCCCCCTGCTTTTCCCCTTGCCTTTTCCTTCGCGTCTCCCCGGGCATGACAAACTTTTTTATGTAAATTCTGAGGCAGCCGCTCCTGTTGTTTTACTTTCGGCTTGCACCTGTGAGCCCGCCCGCGTCATAAGAAAAAGTAAGGTAAAACTTTGCTCCGCAAAATATTGTTCGACAAAGGCTAAAAAATACGCAAAATAACATTAAAAAGGAAAATAGGAAAGTAGCAGGAGGGATTCTTGGCATCTAATCGAATCAAATTTCGTCGAACATGCTTTTCAGGTCACTTCCGAACTTTTGCCCAAAACACTTGACAAACTTTCAATTGGCTGGGTTTTCGGCCAGTTCAAAGTTCAGGGAATCCCCAATCAAACCCTAACTTCTGGCCAAACAAAATTTTGTGGCCAATGCAGCTGGCATAAAAGCTGGAAAATTAATTGAAACCGAATAGATAAGTTCAGGAAGCGAAAGAAGAGCGCAAAGGCGGAGGGCCAATGATTGATTAAGCCCGCTTTTCCCAGGAAAATGCGGGGGAGAGCGGGCAGAAGAAGTCAAGTCGCATTGAATCGAAGGGAATCGAATCAAGTGGAGTCAAGTCGAGTCATCATCAAATGCGATTAGACAGTCAGCCGGGAGATTAGACACTCGCACTGACCTGAGACATCGCCGGATATACATGGTGGGGGGTATATATTATAGCCGGGGGACGACGACAGACATCTGTCGATGGCTTCTCAACAGTCATTCTCCGACGAATACTAAATTGCCTTTAATCCACTTTATCATCGACACCAGGAAATAGACAGGCAGCCTTAGAGTAAGCAGGGGAAAACTAAGAAACAACTTTCACAGAGATGATACGAAGGCTTGAACTTAATCGATATGAAGAATCAGGCTGAGAATCATTCTTTTAAAATCGGGAATATAAAGAACGTCTTCTAAAAAGCCTAGCACTTTTTCTTCAGAGCTGTTTTTTCCCTGATAACATGCTTGCCCTATTAGAAATTAGATATAATTACCCGTAATCATAATAAACGGGCATAAAGAACGAAGGAAAAGCGAGCGAGCAGGACATGGGACCCGAAAGTGTCGCCCCCGTGACGGCCATAAATATGATGATAATTAAGTGTGTCTCGCACATATACTCAATTTGGCCTTATTAACCCAAAAAATGACACAGATA